ATCTATCTATCTATATGTCTATCTATCTATTATCTGTCTATCTGTCTATATATCTGGCTATCTAACTGTCTACCTGTTTATCTATCTATCTATCTATATCTCCCTCTGGACATCTGTCCAAGTAACTCTGGCACTCTCAGTTTATATAATTACACACATGCATACATACATACACAGAGCTTTTACGCCAATCGTTACGTAAATTCATCCATGTGTCTCTCTCGCTTTCCACGGAGTTATTTGTCGACTGATTTCCCATGCCTGTCACACGACCGGTACTGTACTCAATCACATGCAACAAACGACCATGGATATGCACGATTCTATGAAGATGAGGAGAGCAATGACGAGTGAGCCTGACTTCAACGCTCACACAAATACCACCTACAAGGCGATGTTAACTCATCATCACATTTCCTTCCCATCTGGCTAATAGGTTGATGCAGAGGAGACTGTTGTGCGGAAATCTTCTTGTGCAGACAGAGTTCAGTGGCGATTGCCGATGTGATGAGATGAAATGAATTGAATTGAATTGAATTGACTGAGTGTGATGACTTGCAGTGTATAGAGGTGTGTATGCATGTGTCGTGGATCGTGTGTGGATGGATGGCGGAATTTCGGATGCAACTTCATGCACATTGACAATATACTGGAGCAGTCAATCACTCACTCACTCACTCACTCACTCACAGGAAACACAAACAACTCTGCTGCATACAGATGAAATCAATCAATCGACGAAATCATCAACGTCAGATATAGTCAGTGAGTGAATTGAAATGCCTCTCAGCGTGTGAGTGAGTGAGTGATTGAGTGAGTGGATGGTTGAGTGCGTGAGTGAGTGAGTGAGTGAATAAGTGATTCTTGAGGGTGTTGAGAATGACATCTCACCTAGGCTGTGAAGAATGCTGTCAATCAACAAAACACCAGACACTCACTTTCATCCTCGGAATTGTCTTCCGCTTCTGAAATAAATAAACAGACATATTTGATAAACTTGGATTCACGAGGAAGTTGTTTCAGCAAATGCAAATGCAATCATACTGTATATCATCGTTCATTGAAACGAACTGCGCTAAACTACGCCTAATTTCACTCATATTACTCTGGAATACAGTTGAACCAGTCGATTGAATCCGTTTGAATTGCTTCAAAGGATCTGTCTGCTTAACTAAAGATTCATTCTCTTTGTATATCTGGCAATACCGACACACCAAACAAGCCACGAATAAAGGCCACCGTACATCATTTCATATATCTATATATTTAACTATCTATCTAACCATCTAACTGTCTATCAAAGTAAAGATCTATCCATCCATCTATCTATCCATCTATCTATATGTCTATCTATCTATCTATATGTCTATCTATCTATCTATCTGTCTATCTGTCTATATATCTGGCTATCTAACTGTCTACCTGTTTATCTATCTATCTATCTATCTATATCTCCCTCTGGACATCTGTCCAAGTAACTCTGGCACTCTCAGTTTATATAATTACACACATGCATACATACATACACAGAGCTTTTACGCCAATCGTTACGTAAATTCATCCATGTGTCTCTCTCGCTTTCCACGGAGTTATTTGTCGACTGATTTCCCATGCCTTTCACACGACCGGTACTGTACTCAATCACATGCAACAAACGACCATGGATATGCACGATTCTATGAAGATGAGGAGAGCAATGACGAGTGAGGCTGACTTCAACGCTCACACAAATACCACCTACAAGGCGATGTTAACTCATCATCACATTTCCTTCCCATCTGGCTAATAGGTTGATGCAGAGGAGGCTGTTGTGCGGAAATCTTCTTGTGCAGACAGAGTTCAGTGGCGATTGCCGATGTGATGAGATGAAATTGAATTGAATTGAATTGACTGAGTGTGATGACTTGCAGTGTATAGAGGTGTGTATGCATGTGTCGTGGATCGTGTGTGGATGGATGGCGGAATTTCGGATGCAACTTCATGCACATTGACAATATACTGGAGCAGTCAATCACTCACTCACTCACTCACTCACTCACAGGAAACACAAACAACTCTGCTGCATACAGATGAAATCAATCAATCGACGAAATCATCAACGTCAGATATAGTCAGTGAGTGAATTGAAATGCCTCTCAGCGTGTGAGTGAGTGAGTGATTGAGTGAGTGGATGGTTGAGTCCGTGAGTGAGTGAGTGAGTGAGTGAATAAGTGATTCTTCAGGGTGTTGAGAATGACATCTCACCTAGGCTGTGAAGAATGCTGTCAATCAACAAAACACCAGACACTCACTTTCATCCTCGGAATTGTCTTCCGCTTCTGAAATAAATAAACAGACATATTTGATAAACTTGGATTCACGAGGAAGTTGTTTCAGCAAATGCAAATGCAATCATACTGTATATCATCGTTCATTGAAACGAACTGCGCTAAACTACGCCTAATTTCACTCATATTACTCTGGAATACAGTTGAACCAGTCGATTGAATCCGTTTGAATTGCTTCAAAGGATCTGTCTGCTTAACTAAAGATTCATTCTCTTTGTATATCTGGCAATACCGACACACCAAACAAGCCACGAATAAAGGCCACCGTACATCATTTCATATATCTATATATTTAACTATCTATCTAACCATCTAACTGTCTATCAAAGTAAAGATCTATCCATCCATCTATCTATCCATCTATCTATATGTCTATCTATCTATCTATATGTCTATCTATCTATCTATCTGTCTATCTGTCTATATATCTGGCTATCTAACTGTCTACCTGTTTATCTATCTATCTATCTATCTATATCTCCCTCTGGACATCTGTCCAAGTAACTCTGGCACTCTCAGTTTATATAATTACACACATGCATACATACATACACAGAGCTTTTACGCCAATCGTTACGTAAATTCATCCATGTGTCTCTCTCGCTTTCCACGGAGTTATTTGTCGACTGATTTCCCATGCCTTTCACACGACCGGTACTGTACTCAATCACATGCAACAAACGACCATGCATATGCACGATTCTATGAAGATGAGGAGAGCAATGACGAGTGAGGCTGACTTCAACGCTCACACAAATACCACCTACAAGGCGATGTTAACTCATCATCACATTTCCTTCCCATCTGGCTAATAGGTTGATGCAGAGGAGACTGTTGTGCGGAAATCTTCTTGTGCAGACAGAGTTCAGTGGCGATTGCCGATGTGATGAGATGAAATTGAATTGAATTGAATTGACTGAGTGTGATGACTTGCAGTGTATAGAGGTGTGTATGCATGTGTCGTGGATCGTGTGTGGATGGATGGCGGAATTTCGGATGCAACTTCATGCACATTGACAATATACTGGAGCAGTCAATCACTCACTCACTCACTCACTCACTCACAGGAAACACAAACAACTCTGCTGCATACAGATGAAATCAATCAATCGACGAAATCATCAACGTCAGATATAGTCAGTGAGTGAATTGAAATGCCTCTCAGCGTGTGAGTGAGTGAGTGATTGAGTGAGTGGATGGTTGAGTGCGTGAGTGAGTGAGTGAGTGAATAAGTGATTCTTGAGGGTGTTGAGAATGACATCTCACCTAGGCTGTGAAGAATGCTGTCAATCAACAAAACACCAGACACTCACTTTCATCCTCGGAATTGTCTTCCGCTTCTGAAATAAATAAACAGACATATTTGATAAACTTGGATTCACGAGGAAGTTGTTTCAGCAAATGCAAATGCAATCATACTGTATATCATCGTTCATTGAAACGAACTGCGCTAAACTACGCCTAATTTCACTCATATTACTCTGGAATACAGTTGAACCAGTCGATTGAATCCGTTTGAATTGCTTCAAAGGATCTGTCTGCTTAACTAAAGATTCATTCTCTTTGTATATCTGGCAATACCGACACACCAAACAAGCCACGAATAAAGGCCACCGTACATCATTTCATATATCTATATATTTAACTATCTATCTAACCATCTAACTGTCTATCAAAGTAAAGATCTATCCATCCATCTATCTATCCATCTATCTATATGTCTATCTATCTATCTATCTGTCTATCTGTCTATATATCTGGCTATCTAACTGTCTACCTGTTTATCTATCTACCTATCTATCTATCTATCTGTCTATCTGTCTATATATCTGGCTATCTAACTGTCTACCTGTTTATCTATTACTATCTATCTATATCTCCCTCTGGACATCTGTCCAAGTAACTCTGGCACTCTCAGTTTATATAATTAATTACACACATGCATACATACATAGAGCTTTTACGCCAATCGTTACGTAAATTCATCCATGTGTCTCTCTCGCTTTCCACGGAGTTATTTGTCGACTGATTTCCCATGCCTGTCACACGACCGGTACTGTACTCAATCACATGCAACAAACGACCATGGATATGCACGATTCTATGAAGATGAGGAGAGCAATGACGAGTGAGGCTGACTTCAACGCTCACACAAATACCACCTACAAGGCGATGTTAACTCATCATCACATTTCCTTCCCATCTGGCTAATAGGTTGATGCAGAGGAGGCTGTTGTGCGGAAATCTTCTTGTGCAGACAGAGTTCAGTGGCGATTGCCGATGTGATGAGATGAAATTGAATTGAATTGAATTGAATTGACTGAGTGCGATGACTTGCAGTGTATAGAGGTGTGTATGCATATGTCGTGGATCGTGTGTGGATGGATGGCGGAATTTCGGATGCAACTTCATGCACATTGACAATATACTGGAGCAGTCAATCACTCACTCACTCACAGGAAACACAAACAACTCTGCTGCATACAGATGAAATCAATCAATCGACGAAATCATCAACGTCAGATATAGTCAGTGAGTGAATCGGAGTGCCTCTCTTTTTTTGACTGTTTTGGAGTTTGTCTAAGAATATAAGCGCTAAATTTCGGTGTTGTTTTTATCATCTGAGTTGGGCTTTGTTTAAAACTCTGTATCAACAAAACACCAGACACTCACCTTCCTTTACGTTTTCGTCGTTTTCATCTGTAATCAAAATCATAGGCATATTTGATAACCTTTTTTCACGGTGAATTTCTTTAATGAAAGACAAATTATATCATACTGCATATCATCATTCAATGAAATGCACTGCTCTTCACTGCGATGAATTTCACTTTCATTATACTGAACTGCAATTCACCTAATCGAATGAATGCCTGTGGATTGCTGTCAATTTGTCCTCCTTTTTTTCTGCCAGTCCTTTTTTCTATATATCTATTCAACTATAAATATATGTTGCTCAATTATGAGCCATCCACTTTTATGTGCACATATGCATCTCCACTAGAATCTGTCTGTGTATGTAGCTTATAAGCCTACTATCCAACTTAATATTTACCAAAGATTTTGTCGCTCTATCCATCTTTTCATGTATATATCCTACTAACTGTGTACCTGTCAATTCATAATTTCTACCGAACTATGTATACATCTATCTTTCTACCTATTTTTCCATATATCTAACTATCAATCTATCAATCCATCTATCCACGTAACTATGGATCTCTCAGTCTATTTTTACATCTATCTCTTTTACGCTAATCGTTACGTAAATTCATCCATGTGTCTCTCTCGCTTTCCACGGAGTTATTTGTCGACTGATTTCCCATGCCTGTCACACGACCGGTACTGTACTCAATCACATGCAACAAACGACCATGCATATGCACGATTCTATGAAGATGAGGAGAGCAATGACGAGTGAGCCTGATTTCAACGCTCACACAAATACCACCTACAAGGCGATGTTAACTCATCATCACATTTCCTTCCCATCTGGCTAATAGGTTGATGCAGGGGAAACAGTTAAAGCTAACTTAACTCCGTGATCAACTCGTAAAACATAACTTAACTCATGTTTTGTTGATTTACTCGAATTGTAGAAAATTAATTTAATTACAGGTAATCCCATATATATATATATATTTAAATGTCTCACAACTTTCAGTTAATTCGTTTTAGATTCATATCCCCCAACCTTCAGACTGATTATTCAATATTCTCTTTTGTATTGTAGGTGGAGATGAGTTCGGAAGTTCTTGTGAACACAAAATGCTTATCTACGTATTTAGACAATCCGGTCAAATTGACTTTAATTCGCTGTATTTGAATTATTCATGAGAAGAAGTCAGTCATCACTTCAACATACACATTTCAAGAAATCCAAGGAATTTATATACATTAAATTTCTAAGCTTAACTGAAATATTCATATCTCAGGTCTTATTCTAGTGATTTTCTAATAATTGCAGTGAAGAAAGAACATCAGTTTAGAGCATTATTGAAAAGCATCTATTTCTTCGTAGTCTGGGACTCTTCAACAGCATTCATCTGTGACTTCGCTAGAGATCTAACCTTTCAGTCCTTGACTTGGAATCCACCAAACCCGGCATTCTAGTTTCAACCAATCTGCTAATAAAGTCTTACTATCAAACAATGGCTTCATAGTAATTTGGACTAGAACGGAACAACCTTTCAGCTGGTCAATTGTTTTCTGTCTAAGTTCTATTCATAACTAAATCTACATTGAAATTCACATTTAAATAGTTAAAGTGATACATAACTAACTATTGTAAAATAAAACTTGATAGAATTGTGATTTTAAAGATAAAACCATCAAAAGCAAAATGATAATATTATGACACTTTATAAAAAAGGATTATTAATCAACTCACAATCATTAGCTGCATTGTTATTAGATAATAGGAGTAGAAGGCAGCATAATATCGTTAGTAGTATATTTCTCATGATTCAAAATCTCTTGTCACTGTATGTTGTCAGTGTTGTATACTGCAAAAAAAAATATTATGCCTAAATCTCTCACAAATAGCCTTTTTATAGTTATACACACCAATGCACACTAAGTATGAATGTATGTGGTGTACATATGTGTATCTAAATTTTGTGTTCACCTATCTAAAGGTGCAGTTATATTTGGCAAGTAACACAGCATAATAGCTAACATATAAAATCAACCTGTAGTACATTGGTTACAGAAAACAAAACAAAACAGTTAACTGATCACCGTCCATGTAAAGGCAAATCAACCAATCCTTTCTCAGAAAATAGACTCATGCCTATTGAGTAGATTTAAAATTAAGTAGATTTTTCAAAAATACGTTTGTATGGAATAACTTGATTTGCTTCAAGTTTTACCAAGGGTAGATTACGGTTAGAGGACCATTGAAAAACACCAGGGAGTACTGGACATCGATTTCCTCTCCCCAGTCTGCGACTCAGTGGCAGTACTCACACATTTGCTTTCGGACCCAAGATCTTCCAGTTACTTAGAAAGCTTATAGATCATTCACCCACAACCACTGCATGAATTATAACTTCATTTAATTCTTGATTTTAGCACAATTTCGGTGAATACATACCGTTGATGTTGGTTATCAGTGCTTCTCTGACTGTGATGGTGAAACATGGAACAAATAAATTTCTTATAAACTAAATCTTGTAAATTATTCTGATTCTCACTAGTGACCACCTGCGGAACTAATATGTCTGATGTGATTTCTAGTGATAACTCTTGACCGGTGGGGAGAGTGAGGACAAACTCTTTTCGTGGATGGAACTAGCTGATACCAGTCACGTTAAAATTACCAATCCGTAGAGGTTAGAATTCGTATGTTCACAGATTGAGTCGGGTCTCAATACCTGAATGGTCTATAAGCTTATCTTATAATCGGAAGGTCCTGCGCTAAAACACAATTGGTGACGTACTTCCGTTGAGTCTCAAACAACGCTGACGAAACAGCTGTTTGGTTCTGCCTGATATTCTTCAGTGCTTCTCTAACTCATATCAATCCATCGTCTAACTTGGAACTAGTGAAGTTTTTTTCCTATCTACATGGCAAGTATTCCGCCACAAATTTGCGATACATTATGGATGGGAAGTCAATATACAGATCCGTTGAACAAGGATTTCATTTCATAACTATTTGACTGATTATTTATGTTCATTTTACTTTATTACACAGGCTGTTTTATCTAAGCTAAAACTCCTGTAGTCTCCAAGGGCGAATTATGATGATTAACTCATAGTGTACATAGTGAATTAACCAGTAGATATTACGTAGTTGGAAACAAGAACAACAGTTTTTGCAGAATAAAATGTTAACACCATTCATTTCGTTGGCTTTTCATCAGCTGCCTAAAGCTCAAAGTCATTATTTAGTATATTTAAAGAAACAATTGCACAGAGTTCATTTTTAAACAAAAATCAATTATTACCGATAAAGTTTTTATTTTGAAAAATGAAATAGTGTTCTACAGTAATATTTCACGTTTCAAATACACATTTTTGCTCATAATATTATCAATATCATATCACAATCAGGTCATAAATTGATAAGAATATGAGCAATAATTTATGCTCAAAACGTCAAATAGGACTGTAAAACAACGTGTGATTTTATCGAAAAAAATTATATCAATAATGGAGTTGTCCTCTACCTCACTAAGCCAGAAATAATGTTGGTGAAGAGGAAAGGTTGGGCATGGGGCTAGCAACCCCATCCTGTAAAATAAACACTGCTACAGAAACTTCAAGCCACTAGCTTGAAGCTCTATGTTCCACTGGGGAACGTGAAGGAAAAAAAAAATAATGGAGTTGTACAACACTACAGTGACCAAGTTTTATCCTTTTATCAAAAATCAATAAATCAGTATACGCATGAAATAACCACAGATATATAATAATGAACATCTTGTCCCGAACAATAATGATCATGCACAATAATAACTTTCGGCATCAGATAATCAAACGAACGCTAAGGTGAAAATATTCAGTTATCAGGACAAAAAAAGACTGAAAACTGCTTCTTTCTGAACACATAAATTCGGTTTCAGGCGCTTGGTGGAGATTGCTTCAGTAAAATTAAGAGGATAATTAAACTCTATTACCCAATGATTACTTTAAACGGTCTTGCGAATCCCACCACATGACCCGTGTCAAGGAGATGCCTGGCTGCGGGACTCTTCGAAGCATTTGTTCCTTTTAGACAGGGATCTTCGGTACGTGTTCAGAAGATTGGAGGTTTGCGCTTCTTTCTGTTTCTTCAAATGTAACCGATCCCACACATGCACGTTATTAGTGCATATAGTTTCAGTTAACATCAGAAAGATATCTGTCGATTTTTGATTGCTCCAAGACGAGAACCAGCTTGGTTGCGGGATAGTCTCTGCCCAATGACATCGTCAATCTTCTGCTGACAGTTACTTTCATATTTTCACCTTCAAAATCAGGTTAAATGTAGGTGTGCTATTTGCCTCAATGTGATTTGCTTGACATTTGAGAATTCAGACATTCCGTACTTGTTAATGAACCTTTGAGTGTTACCATCGCTTTCCAACATTTCGCGAAATATAAATGCTTCTTCTAATCTCTCTGTAGAGCATAATCTCCTACCTCTATAGTAATAAGTCATGACTAGTGCACATGTAAAGCTATTTGGATAAAAACTATTAAAATGTTGGTGTTATTCTTTCCATGTAGGCTGCTAATGTGTACCATAGATGTGAAACTCCGATTTCACAATTTGTCATATATATGTATTTTCCCACCTTCTGTTTCTTCAATCTCCATTTGAGACTTTCGATATTTCCGGTATAGCCTTTCGTCATTCAGATTGCACGTGTGCGGAGTTATATCGATTAACAAAGCTTCCTTAGACAAACTAAATGACTTTTTAATACTACATCACTGTGTGATGTTTAAATTAAAATTATATCATATGTAATTACACACAATAAAGTGCCATTTTTTACAATCACATTAAGAAATCAAAGGTCTGTTGAAAATTGGCGGCCCACAGAACACAATCTCAGGTAGCTGGAAGGATAAATAAATTCACCTGGTTCAAATGAACTTCCAAAGAGAAACCTAGCACAATAAACCGCCAAGCATATAGCAGAGGCCGGTCATAAATTTGTTTTCAGTAATGCTACTAAACCCATCCATCAAACAAGATTGAGCACTTAGTTAAATTCTTTGAAACCGTAGTCATAAATGTGTGAGTATGCGTGCAATTCCTTTAGACGGCGAAGATTTTCTCGCTTAGGTCTCAGCCGGTATCTAGGCAAAGACTTATAAAATGTTTGGGGATGTATCCTAAACTTAAGATATTCGTTAAAATGACCGCTACTAGTACAGCGTCTAGCAATCAAACACCTCAACTTCACCAAATCATTTACTCCCTAGACGGCAATTTTAGAGACAGCACATACGACAAACAGTATCAATCTAAGATTAGAAGATGCTATTTGAATTGTCTGTGAAAGCAAATTAAAAGCCGAATATTTATGAGTAAAAGTAAATTCATGACATCGTGATCTTAACTTTACAACAAAACACGTGGAATATAATAACAATCCGATATAAAAAGAATATTCGAAATTTGATCTGGTAGTACAATGGCATATAAAATAAAGTCCCTAACGGATATTTTATCTTTGAACGCAAACCACAATTAGTCCATCAATGAATATCCTAAAGAAATAAGTCCTGGTAAAATTATCCAAATATAATCAAAAGTAGCAGTATACACAAGTGTTCCAATGAAAGCAGATGATGTACAAGATGTGATCCAAAGAAGATTTGACGAAGACCTCAGATGACCCTACTATGCAACAGAGCTCAGGTTCCTCGACATTACCAAGTGAGTGCTGCTGCAATCTAAGAATGCGTCATTGTCAATCTTCTCCAATACAAGTTGCGTGTATCAATTTTAGCGCAAATGTTATAGCAAATGCGTTAGTTGTACGGAAAGGCGATCGCCTACTCCAATAATGGACGGTTCAACAAACTTGTTATATATGGCTTAAGTCAAAGTGTCAAACTGCATATGAGCACATATCCAACACGTATTCTGGCCATCTGAACTCCATAGATTGATTTCTCCTGCTTACGTTACTCACAACTCACACTCACACCCGCTTAGCACCGAACACGATACCATGACAGAGCATAACCGCCTATAGTTAGAGCATCTTAACTCCTATATTAACGAAACATAAAAAAGTGAGATCAAAAACATACATGCGACCATACAATCCGATTCACCCACCAGCCAACTTCCAACATTCCCTGGAAATCAGAGGACATGAAGCTTGAAAAATGAGAGTAATTTGTGCGAATTGTACAGTATTTTAGAGAAATCCTGTGTTACTGGAATTAACGTGGTTTTGAAGTTTCTTCGAATTGTCTCTGGTGAACCATTTTCTGTGTGGTGCTGTGGCCAGTTTTTAACCATCCACTTGCTTGTCATCCCCATTTATTATTACCCTCTTTCATTTCTTCTTTGTAGAATCTCTGGTGAATCCCTCTGGGTAAATGTTTTCAAGTAACATTTTCAATATGACGTTTAGTAACTTTCGTTGGTAATCTTGTGTTGTTGTAAATCTGTGTAGTCTCTTTGTAAGACCTTCTATTAACCCAAACATTAACCGTGAGTTAAACCTCAAATATATTTGGATTCGTACCACGTTGAAACCGAAATAAAGACGAGAATATCACCGTGATCATGATATGGCAGGTGATTTTTTTCTGGGCCTGTATAAGTACAGTTCAGGTTTAAGGTCTTGATTAGCTAGTGATTCAGCCATGCATAGATAACGTACTTGTATGTTGTGGATTACTGTAAAGCAGTCGAAAATTTGCCACTGAAAATTTCTAAAGAACACTTCTGTTGATATTCTCATTCCCTCTTTATTCTAGTCACCATGGACAATTCTGCAAAGTTCGC